TATTTCTATGTATATAAGTAAAAAAAAAAAAAAATTTGTCAGCCACAGTTTCGGTCTGTTTCTCCTCATTGGCTCTGTAATCCACCAAACTGACTGATTTTCAACTGAAAATGTAACTTTCTTGTGATCAACACACACACACGTAAAAAAGTCAAAAGCATGCACTTGTTCCATTAAATAAAAACATCTACTGATGCATAGATTGCATAATCTATCTTTTTCATTATATCTTTTTTTGTTTTACACTCCTTCAAATAGCTAAATTAAATCTGTAGAAATGGGAAGCAGCTGATAATCCCTTAAAGAAAACTTGAAATCTGTGTCGGCAAGCAAAAGTCTTAATTGGTACAGCTCTGATAAAGACACATAAACAGTATGTTTGTCTTTGAACCGTTAATGTATTGAAAATCCATGTAAAATAGCAATACCTTTGTTTTAAATATTGGGATATTTTTTTAAACTATTTTATTTAGTCACTTTCAAGTAGGGTTTTCAGATGATATTTGATCACCTTGTTCACAGCAAGCTTATTGCCTCAGGACTGTTTTTCCCCTTCAGTCATTAGCTTGGATGGTTGACAACCATGTGTAGCACAGCACAGATCTCTTTGACTAAAACCTTGTAAATTAACACAATTAGTGCAGCATCATCCTGCTAATTAGCTGCTGGTGTCTAGTGTGGCTGGTTGGCAAATGGCTGGGAGGAAATCAGAAGGGAATTCACAGAGAAACTGCGATTATAGTCTGCCTCTGGACACTAGCTGTTTTTCAGTTTGCATCCTGTGATATCTGCTTTACCCACTGACGTATAAATTATAGCGGTGTAATGTCAGCAAAACAAAGAAAGGCACATGGCTGCACCATCTTCTCTCATGTTACTGAGTTTATCTTATACAGCTTAATTCTGATGAGAGATATACAAGGCTCACTATTTAAAGTTGTTTTGAGTATTAATCTCCTTTGGACTTCATACTGAGAGGGTCCAGAGGATTTCTTCATCATCCCAGAATAAAGAAGCACAGTTAGACAAAGATTTGTATTTGCAGATTAACTTTAGGATTTAACTTGATTATTTCTGTCATTCAAACCCTTTAAGGCCTCACAGAGAAGATGAGTGAAGCTGCGGAGAAAAAGACAAGTGAAGCATGTTTTTCTTTTTCCCCCTCCTTACTCTGTCGGGTGGGAAGCAGCAAGCAGACGCGATGTGGATGTAATACATGCTGGGCTGAGGGCTTTGTGTGATGAAAGCAACAGAGCGCTGCCAAGGAAGATTGCTTTGCTGCTCTCCTCCAAGCAGATCTGAAACTGTCTCAGAATGTCTCAGATGAGAGTTGGATTATAGACTGACCTACAATGTCTGTGTCACTCTGCTCTGCATTGGGTAGATTATTCCATGGTAACCAGGTGTTGGGTCCAATATCCGACTGCTGACCATCTAGCTAGTCTTCCGTAGAGTTAGCTTTTTTCATTTCATATACTCCAACACCTCTTATTGTTAAATATTTTAAATATTGGAAAATATAATTTTTTTTTTTATCATTTTCTTATCAGTACATACTTATATTGATAATTAAAAGACCTATTAAATATCTAAACAATTGTAGCTGGCTTTGATTAGAAATAATAATATAATCCAACCAAGCCCAAAATAAAAAAAATCACACAGCTTTAGATTTTTGATCTTTTTCATATAAGCAACATTTTACCTTTCAAATGATCAAAAGAAAAATCTGAAATTTCTTATGATTGCTGGTCAGTTATGTTAGATATTTCCATTGTCCTTGATTTTGACCTCCAAGTCTGGTTAGAAAGCCTCTTTATCATTACTGTAATTGTTAGTTCCCTTTTGAGATTATTAGATTTAAATCAGAACTCTGAGCAAGCCACTCTAAAATCTTTGATATTACTTTCGGTGAGAAAAAAATGGGTGACCAAGTTGAACTACTACCAAGTTGAATAAAAATGATTTTGTACAGTAAAATGCTCAACAAAAAGGTGCCCAATCAGAATGTTTAATATATATATATATTTTTTTTTTTTTTTCCTGAATTTTTTTGCTGTACTACTTGTTATTATATTTCAATCTATTTATAATTGCCAGTTTTCTCCTATAAACCAAAAATGATATTGTATTCTTATGGCTATATTTGCAGAATAAAAATGATGCAGTAATGTCAGACCTCAAACAACACAGGATTACAAGTTCATTACCATCTTTAAACAAAACACTTATTCAAAGAGTTCAGAAATTAGTTTTTGGTTGAATTTAACAGACATAAATGAGACAGTGGTCTCTATATGAGCTGTACCTAACTGTGTAAATCTATTGATCAGTATTAAAATAACAAAGATGAAACTCCAACAAATGTTATAACTGCAGGTCTTGAATAATGTTTTTTTTTTTTGTGTTATGAGTTAAAAACATTTTGGTTATATAATAGATATTAGGTTTAATATTTTGTTTAATAAATAATTATTTATGGTATTTTTTTTTTTACATTTGAATCTCTGGCTATTGTTAAATAAATAAAGACATAAACTTTAACATATTTCATCCTTTTCCTACTGTCTAGGTCTAAAGATGCAGTGGACCCCGGAGCACACACAATGGGCAGAACAACACTTTGACATCTCATCTACTACCCGCTCTCCAGCTCACAAAGTGGAGGCCTACAGGGGGCACTTACAGCGAACATACCAGTATGCGTGGGCAAACGATGACATCTCTGCGCTGACTGCCTCCAATCTGCTCAAGAAATATGCAGAAAAGTACTCTGGGATCCTAGAAGGCCCAAATGAAAGAGCCCTGCTGTGCTCCTACTCGGATAGCACCAGTGGACTCGTGAATGGAAGAAAGTCGGAGAATGAGTCCTGGCAGGAGGGGATTTACCCAATGAACTGTGCTCCAGATGTTATATCTGTGAGCAAAGCTGGAATGACAGCAGCCCTCCCCCCTACAGACGTGTCTGCGAGCATAGGAAGCTCTCCAGGGGTGGCAAGCAGCTTGTCTGAGCCTAGCTACTCCAGCAGTAACTGTGGGAGTCACCCAGCCACCACTCTTCACTCGGGCCTCCCCTCTCAGGAATATAATGCCAGTTACAATGGCTCTTACCTGCATTCTAGCTACAGTAGCCAGAGCACCCCAGCCCTCCCCTCCCCTCACCCCTCTCCTCTGCAAAGTGCTGGGCTCCTACAACCACCACCACCTCCGCCTACTTTAGTGCCAAGCTACAATGCTGGATCTCCTAACCTTCCCAACTATAGTTATCCTCCAACAGGGTATGCTTCACAGACCGCTGCAGGTCCTGGTTATAGCCCTGGGGGAGCACCACCACCCTCGGCTTATCTGCCATCTGGTATTGCAGCACCCACTCCAATACCTCCTTCCACTCTGCCCGGTTATACCTACCAGTCTCATAGTCACACACCAATCACACCTACACCTTTAAATGGTAGCTCATCTAACTCATTAAAACGGAAAGCTTTCTACATGAGCGGACATGGAGATGTGGACACAAGCTACGCTAATTTCAGCTACAACCAACAGCGTTCCTCACAGAGCCCTATGTACAGAGTAGCAGACACCAGCATCTCCGACTCAAACAGGGGCACTGGCTTTGAAAGAAACACAGAGCCATCATCTTTAGCTTTTAAACCAACAAAACAGCAAATTTCCTCTGATCAGCAAAGAAAATTTAACTTGCACTCCAGCAGAGCACTGACTCCTCCATCTTATGGATCAACCAAAAACTCTGCAGGAGATCTAAGAACTGGGGAGCCATACAGCAAATTCGGGTCTCCAATCATGGGCGAGCAAACTGAAGAGCACAGACAGCACATCCCCCACTCCCTTTCAGGGCCTGATATAGGAACGGCTACCTCATCCATCCAGGCTGCAGAGGAACAACTTAAGAACAGTGATTCCAGTCTGGTAGAATTGGTTAACACCGAAATCCTTCAGCAGGGTTCTCCGGTAGACTGGACTGACATTGCAGGTCTAGATATGGCCAAAGCAACTATTAAAGAGGAAATACTGTGGCCTATTTTGAGACCTGACATGTTTAGCGGACTTGCCACATTACCGCGGAGCCTGCTCTTATTTGGACCTCGGGGAACTGGCAAATCACTGCTGGCCTGCTGCATGGCCAGCCAGCTGGGGGCTGCTTTTTTGCGGCTGAGTGGCTCAGCACTGGTCACAAAGTGGCTTGGAGAAGGGGACAAGATCATCCAAGCTTCTTTCCTTGTAGCACGCTGTCGTCAACCAGCAGTAGTCCTAATCAGTGATGTGGACCTGCTGCTGTCTGCCCAACTAACCGAAGAGAGCCCAGTAAATCACCTAAAGGCTGAGCTACTCATCCAGCTCGATGGTATTCTGACCTCTGCAGAGGACCACGTTCTTGTGGTCTGCTCCACAAGTAAGCCAGAAGAGATCCCTGACACCCTACGGAGGTACTTTACGAGGCGTTTGCTCATCCCTTTGCCTGATGGGAGTGCACGCCATCAGATAATCAGCCAACTTCTCTCACAGCACAACTATTGTCTCAGTGACAAAGAAATATCATTACTCGTTCAAAGGACAGAGGGATTTTCAGGGCTGGATGTAGTCCAGCTGTGTCAAGAGGCTATGGTTGGCTCTCTCCATGGCATTCCTGGGGCTGAACATCCCAGCATCCATCCCAGTCAGATTAGACCTGTCGCATACCAAGACTTTGAAAATATATTTTGCAAATTCCAGCCTAGCATATCACAGAAAGAGCTAGATGTATACACCGAGTGGAATAAAATGTTTGGTTGTAGTCAGTAAAGGGGACCAACTGGACACAATTTCCTTACTTTACTGTGTTAAGTATAAATAAAAAGTTTGGTCTTTTTTAAACAACAAAAAAACAGTGGTGACATCAACATTTTATGTAGAGCTTTGGACATCATACAATGCTACATCCATGCTCAAAACTAACTTCGAAGGGATGTCCCACTTTTTTGTACATAGATATATACAAATATATATAGGTATAATGCTGATTTTGAGATTTAGTTGCAATCAAGTGCCTGAGATGGTGCTGTTTAAGTTTCTTTTTTGCCTCACAATCTTCATTGGTGATACGTGCTAATATAAAAACAAGCTTTACAATGTGAAAAAAACTTTTTCTATTACAGCAGTGTTGTTCAGCTGTGTCTGTTTTGTGATCTCTGTAAAATGTTGTGGTTAATTTCAGCTGAATTAAATTAATTGGCAGAATTTCCCTTGAGCTTCATTTCCTGGCACAGGTTTCATGTGTGCATGTAGGTTATTTAGTTATAGTAAAACTGTCACATATATATTTTACATTTATTTGTTTTCATTGCCTTCTAGAGTTACATTTAATCAATGTACTGGGCTTGTTTGGGTTGGTCTACATACAAAACATTACAAGGTGGTATCAATTGATGTTGGAAGTATTGACACCAGGGGTAAGTTTATGTAAAAAGCTTTAAAATAAATTCATATTTAACTGCAGTAGCTAAATAACCATCCTGAAATATTTAGAAAAGCTCAGCATATATTTTCAGTACATTATTTAAGGACTAAAAATACTTTTCTTTTTAAAAAAACATCAACACCGCTTTTATAGATGCCCTTGCGTTTTTAACCTTTTAAACCTCTTTTGCCAAAAGAAAAAGACCTAGGGCCTGATCTTTGCATGTATTCAAAACTTGTAAGCACTTGCAAAACTGATCTTAGCACAAGGCTGCATAGCAATTTGCGTGTGCAAAAAAACAGTGGGCAGAGACTTCCTTTCTTTTTTCTGCATTGGAAAATTTATGGAGGATAATAGTCAATTGATATACTTACCATTGGCGAAGCGATGTATTACAACTAAACAGGATTGAGGGTAAAGTTTTTGCATCTATGTTTAACATGCTTTTAAGTCAGTTGCAAACTCATGCAAAATTGTTTGTTTTAGTGCCGACAAGAGAGACATTGGTACAGTGCCAGTTGATGGAGATTGTGGGCATTTGCGAACATATTGGATGGCAAGAAACAAAATATTTGTTGGTAAAAAATGTCTGGCCTGGCAAGCTCAAATTAATTAAAAAGGAATACTAGGTTTATGCAATTACACCAAAGTGAAAAACACCATGACTGTACTTGAATATTGTAGCATCTTTATAAAAAAGCAAAAGAATATTAAGAGTAACCAAATAACAAAAATCACAGGTTCTGTAAAGAGACAAAGAGAGGGAACTTAAAAATGTGCATACTAACTTGTGGTAGGGGGGAATTTTTTCCCCACTCATTGTTCTTTTAGAGGTTCCTTGCAAAAACATTCATTTCACTTTTTTAGAACATTGAATGAATTAAATTACTGGCCTGCTCTATTTGGCAATATTCGGGGTAAAGTGGGTGTTTTGATTTGTTTGTCGAGGTAAATCCAAGTGATTTTAAAGCGTATATCACTGTAAACCTGACCCTTGCTCCTTCTTGGTCCTAGGGCTTTGGAGGAAGGAAGTGAAATGTTCTTACTTTTAATATTTTTAGCATTTTTTTTAACTTTATATGTCACAATTTGAGATATGTATATATATATATATAGTTATTTCCTTTTTTTTTAATAACCATTGTTAACTCCATTATTGCTACCCTCAAACTGCTAGTCGCACACAACTTAACCTGTTTACATGTTTTTTACTTTGCCCATGCAGTCTTTGTAAATCACAAGCAACATGCATATGCATTTTTTTTTGTCCAACCAATTCAGTGCTCCTTGCAGTATTTGGATTTCTTTGAAGGTCAGGCCCTAAGTCTTCTCCAGGGCCAATTATTACAGAGTGCTGTGTCCTCTCTTCTAACGTTCTCTATTCTCCTCTCTTCAGGTCTGATGTATATAAAAAAAAAAGGTTGATGAAGGGCAAAATAAATAATTTGGAAAAAAAAATATTTTGGATCAAAGACATCAGACCACATCAAATTTCTATTCAAGCAGTTATCTGCTTTCAGGGATATCAGCCACTTACCCCTAACCTTTGAAAAAGAATAGCATGAGACGCTCCACCACACTCAACAGTGGGGTTGTTGTGGTGACGTCGTATGTATTTATTTTTTGTTTTGTCAAAGATACTGGCTATCAGCCAGTGCTCTATTTATTAAGGTCAGACACAGCAAGCTAAGCACCTTGTTATTGTGTACGTTTTTAAGCTTGGGTTTCTGCACATGCTCCAATATCTTTCCAATTCTGAGCATTGAATTTGAGGAATTGATCTCTGTGTCATGTCCTATTTAAAATCAAAGTCATGAATTACTTATTAAAGCCTCCTAAACTCCTTTAAAATGACTCAATTAGATGAAGTATATTTTAGTAGAATTTTTAAGGGACACAAATTATTGCAAGCAATATGATTATATCACAATATATTTTTGAAACAGTTTTGTTAAAACATGCTATTGCAGTATGCGGTGAAATTATTTTAAGGCTTTTTGCACATTACTAAATTTGGCAGATGCTTTTAGTTGCAAAGTTATTCCTAAAACATATCCCTGCAGTCATTTATTAGACAAGTTATCCATAAATTCTTTTTCCTATTTGAAATCTCAGGAATGTGTTTGTGATATACACTTTACAAGCTTGTAGTAAAACACTATGCATGACAAACATTGGGTTTACTGTACGTTTAAAACTGTATCATTAAACACATTAGGATTTTTAAAAAATGTCAAAAAGGTCAAAACATAAGGGATTCTGCAGTGAGGAGATAATGGTTTATTTTCAAACTTAAAAATCAATTTGTTTATAATATTCAACCTTTTTATATATAACTTGGTACAACTAATGGCTTGCCTCATTGTGTTGGGATAGTATCACAGTGTCGGCATATATAGTGGGGGATTACACATTTTTTTTTAATTCAATGTTGGCAACAAAGTCGGAAACCTTAATTTACAGGAAAATAAAACACCAATCTTGTTATTTAGACCCCAGTTTATAGATTGATGGGTTCATTTTGTGCCAAGAAATTTAATAAGTTCAAACAAATATCTTAAGATTGAGAGACAATTGACCACCCCAGTACCCCCCATTGGCAGTTTATGATTTATTAAAACCCAAGGCTTATGTACAGTGTAAGTTTTGTTGTGTTACCTTGTTGCATTTATCTTTTAAAGAGGAATTCACCATTACATCTTAATGTCACAACTTTTCCATCTTGTTTTATAATGATGCTAAATGAACAGAAACAGGATTTTGTGTTTAATCTATGCTTTATATTTTTCTAAGTTTTTCACCACATGATGCACTTAAAGGGCAATACCACTGACAATGAAACAGTCTGCCTTTGCCTTTGGACAAGTTTTTTTTTTTTTTTTTTTTTTAAATCAGCTTATATTCAGTGCCACATGTCATTGCTGTACCTTGTTTGAACCCTGAATCTGCAATGTCAAGTGGAGATGTTTCAGAAACCTGAGTGTTTCTGTGCGTGCATACTTTCTGTCCTATGGTATTTCAATAGACGTTTACACAAAAGTGTTTTTATTATATCTCAAAGTCATTAATTTAGTTGCATTTCTTATATTCTAATCCTACATATTATTTGTATGGAATACAACTTTTTTCCAGTTACTTTAAACTGTTGCTGTGTTTTTACACTGTTTGCTGCCAATATCTTGCTAAATTTCCGTAGTACATTTCCAACAATGTATGAGTCAGTCTTAGAGTTTAATTGGCAACTTAAAATATTGAATGTATTATATTGTGAGCAGAGCACTTGCACACTGAACCATGCCAGATAAGAGGAGAGCACTGACAGGGTATTTATACAGAAACTGCAGATTAACAAGCTTTTTTTTTTTTCTTTTTAAAGAAGGTCACTTAATACAATACTTCTTGATGCTTTATCACATATTATTTTTAATCAAAAATTTAGCATTGTATGATTGTTTGGAACTAATAACTTTTCAAGGTCTGGACATTTGAGGAGTTTCCAAGACAATAGCACACTTTGAGAAAGTTGTTAATTTATCCAGAGTGATACTTGACTCTATTTTTCCATTATGTGTAATTCTCTGTTTGTACTCAAGTTCTAATATGTTTGCTGTATTATGGTCAGAACTGCACAACGGTTGGTGATTTGTGGAATGATTATTATTAGTTTAAACATGTAGAGACATACAGTATGTGTGGGAACCGAGTGCCTATACTGTATGTGTGTAAAAGGGTAATTAATTTGAAACTCCTTTCTATCATCCATTGGATCCCATGGCACCAATTTAACGATCAAAGCTGGTTTGTTTGTTGTTGTTTTTTATGTAAAGGTTAACTGTTGTTAATATGAAACTGGAACCAAAGTGAAACGGTTTCTCTGGCTCACCAGTTCACCAGTGTGCATCCACATTGCCACTTTGCCCCACTATCTACTACCATACAAACTTAAACCATAGTGAATCTGTTTTGTAATAATTTGGGGGTTTTCCTAAATCATTAAGAAAAGTATTTTTAAAATTGCTGGTCTCCATATAAATGGAAATTGAGTTGTAATTATTTGAATGATTTTATTTGTTTTATTATATTTCCAACTATTTTGGCTCTAATTCCCTTTTCAGCAATCTGACTTTCAGAAAGCAAGAGCAAGTACAACTCCCTGTTTGTAGCTACTGTATAACGAATTTATGTATTCACTTTTCTTGATAAGATTCAGACTATGTGATAAGAATACAGTGCCATGGCTTAAATGCAAAGGTTTTAAAAAATATATGACTTGAAAATCACAAATAAGCATGAAATCAATGATGAGTAGAATGATAAGTAGCATTCCTTTAGTTCTTATATCCTAATTGTTTTGGGGGTTTTTAGAGAGTAGAAAAACAGTATTTCCAATAAGTAGAATTTATGTTTTTTGTTAGTATGAGAAAACCCGTCATCGAGCTAGCTGAGTGGCACTGCAAAGTAATGTACTAAAGGGGAAGCAGTGTGCTACTTCATGCTGCATACAGTCCAAGTAGACTTTGGTTACTCTGGCCCATTTTCTGGCACCTCATTAAAAGAGCTTTAAATCACATGCACATGCTGTTTTAGTTCTTAAACTGTTACTTTTTAGAACCATTGCAGATATTGATACAGGAAACCAGCCCATGCCTGCAGTAGAGAATGACTAAATAAAAATAGACCCATCACCCCTCTGAACTGTCCAATGGTAGATAAGTCATTTATACCTACATTTTTGACTCAATTACTCTCGGTTCCACAATGTAACCTTGCTAATTAAAAAAAAGACAGAAAATCAGACAATAAAAATATGCATTGCTTTTTAAATGCTTGGCTCTCTTTGCAACAATCACCAGTTTACAGCTTTAGATTAAAGAACAAAAAAAATCAAAGGCACAAATGTCGGACAAGGTCGGAATGTACAAACCTTTGGTTTGGTTTGTTAAACGTCACTTAGTAGTGATTTATTTTTAGAGGGGGCATTAAAAAACTACCTTAACTTAGATTAAGCACATATCTCACAGGTTTAAATGGTCAGGGTTAAACAAATATCAATGAGATCCTGTCGTGTACAGTTGAAACCAGAAGTTTACATACAGTCGTGAAAAACAATTTATTAAAACTCCTGTGTAAAATTAAGATTTGTGGGTATAACATTGTTCCCATAATCTTCTTTCCTCTTAATAGAATTTTTTAAAGAGCACCACTCCTTCCTGCAATAAAATAGTCTCACATCATTATGCACCCTCCCCTGTATTTCACATCAGGACGTGTTCTAAGGCTAGAAAGAATTAATCATTAGTCACCCAGATTTAAGTATGACTGTCATGGCCAAATACTTCTTATTCTTTGAGTTGCAGCCTAGTCTTTAAGTATGTTTTACTAATATTGTAAAAGTCCATCATTATCTCTCTGTTCGCTTTTTTATGGAGTCACATACAGTACGGAAGTAGTGTGTTTAAGGTGTTGCCTTAAAAAATACATACAAAGATATTGGGAATTAACCCAGTCAAAATCAGATAAGCCATCAAGATGGCATTTGGTAAACCTCTTCATTAAAAAGCAAAATAGTAATAAAAGGAGTTAAAATATATATATATTCCGTAATTGTTTTGGCATCTAGCAGATCAAAATAATTTTGGCAATTCTGATTGAGCTAAAGCCTCAATGCTTTATTGAGGATTTATGTCTTTTTATACAGTATTTGTAAATATCTGGTTGAATTTTTTTTTCCACTCTTTTACTCAAAGCTGCATTCCCATTAATTTGAATATACACCTGACAGTAGGATTGTGTTTTGCAAAAGCAGTTGGGTTTAATGCTATATATTTCACATATTATTTAATCTTTAAGAAACAGACAAATAGACGTTTTTTGAGTGTAGTACAATGAAAGGACCTGGAGACACAGACAGCACTTGACTAGAGCCAATAATAAGCACACCATGATCCTGAGTCTAGACTAAAGACTATCATCATTTTCTTTCAGTATTACTGTAATTAGTTTCATGTTGAGAATTTGTTTTAATGTATTTCTCATCCAATATAAATCATTATACATCCTTTAAAACCCTTTCTACCTCATTGCTACATATTGTACTTATAGTACTTATGTCGTTTCATTTTGAATGTCATTCATTTGTGAATTAGAAATTGTAAAAAGAAGAAAAGATTGCCCTTGAATTTGAGCAGTCTACCTCAAAAAGACTGTCTTATGCTGTCAAGTACAAGTCACAGAGAAGAAAAGACAAAAAAAACTGCTCCTTTAAGAAAAAGATGAAGCTTAGCTGCACAATCTGACATACAGTTACAGTATTTAGAATAACACTTTCTAACTACAGTGTTAAATATGTTGTTTTCTGCAGTTTTTTTTTTTTTAATGCAAACTCTATTTGATTGAATTCTCTGTGAATCCTGTAGTGCCATATTGATGTTTATGTGCTTTACGTGCACTGGCAATTCTCCATGTGAGTGAGAGGGGTCAAAGGCAACATGTGAACATTCTGAATTTTTACTTTTCATACATGTGTACAAAAAAATGAACTTGCACATAGCTGTATATATATTGTAAATTTGCTACTGATATACATCATACATACATACAAAAAGCGCCATGTACTTGTTTATACGTGTGTATGTATCGCCATATTTACAGTACAGTCAATTTAATTGTATTTTAATTTTACAGTACATAAGTCACTGAAAAAACTGAATAAAGTTGTTTTCTTGCTCTTTTTCTGTGACCAAACTGGTTTTATTCTTGCATCTTTCTCTTAACTTCACTCAATTTCTTATGCTATGTGATGCCTTTTTTAAGCATTTCTTTTGTCTCCTAAGATTTCTTACAAGTATTAAATAGATTTGTGCTAAAACTGAATAGAATAGAAGCAATTAAATAGTTTTATCAGACTCTTAGCAATGAAAATACATGTACCGGTATTAAGTGTTATTTTACTTAAAACTGAAGAGATTTACCTTGAAAACAATATTGGTTCAAGAGACTATTTGTGCAAAAAAAAAAATTATGAACAAAAAGAAATTCTTATTTTGCATTTTGAACAGCTTCATTTGAGGGATGATGTAGTAGTTTATTATTAAAACTGCTAAATAAATTATCTTTTCTAAATATGAATGAACAACATTGTGTGTCCATGTTAAAATGTGATGGGTAAAATATGATACCATTTACATAAAGATTTGTTATGAAATTCAAATCCAAGAGAAGACTTTAAATTCACCCCTAAAAATTGACTGATAAGCATTTCTCTGTAAGAATGATATAACAAAAAAATCACTAATAAACCATTTTAACAACAAGCAGGAATTTGTCAAATCAAATAAATTTGAAAGATGTCTATTTAGTGGGGGGAATAAAAGGTAATTGAGGAGGAACAAACTTTGTTTTGTGAGATAAGATAATTCATTTTGTACAAGAGCATTCATATCAAAATAAAGTCCTTAACTTACAACAGGAAACACGGTCTGAAATTACTTTAAATATTGGGTCAGTTAGAAAAATTACAGAGGTCTTCCCCTCACATTTCCAGAGGTGCTGCTTTTGGAATTGCTGATTAAAACAACGTCTCTGATAAATCTAGGTTCATATTAGGTATACTAATCTGAGATCTAATCAGGCTGAATACCTATCAGTGCTTTTTGAAAATCTTAGGGAATTAATTAGCCTATCAACAAAAAGTTTATATATTTATATTGTTAAAAAGTAAGTTATATAAAAAAAAAAATATAGTGTTAGTGAGCTACTAAAAGACAGAACTGAGTTCTCTGACAATTATACATGCTTATATATGCTATATAGGTGCTTCTAGTGTTTGTGGTTCAGTAGTCCCTAAGCTTATCTTGTGAATCTCCACTAAACTTTGAAAAAGGTTTTGCTTTACAGTTCAGTCAAGGATAGTGCTATCCCTGATGTGTACTTGTTCTACCACATTTTTTCCTTCCACTCAACTTTCCATCAATATATTTGAATGCAGAACTCTTCTGGATATTGTAGGCCAGGGGTCTTTTATCCCAGTCCTGCAGGTCCACTGCAACCTTTAGTTGAGATCAAAAATCTGGTAATAGGCAAAATCTGAGGAATCTGACTGCATTCTGACAAGAAAACCCACAGGGAGGCCAGAAATCTATTGGAATAAAAACATCTTTTAAAATAGTGACTGGGTAACATTCTAATTTTCTTTTAAAAAAGCTTACAACATATGAAACTCATTTCAATAACAGACATAAATGAAATATATTACAATATGTGTATTAAAGCTTTTTGTCTTCTATTTCACCTGCCATACGATACCAAAATATGAAAATCGATAATTTTACAAAAACAAAACCTAATGATACAATGATATGACCAAAAACATTCCAAACACACAGATAATACATTTAAATTATAGACACTATACCCCAGGAAGGCTACACCAATAGACTTCATAAGATATTTTGAGCTCAAAAATATATTTTTTAAATATGTTTAAACAGTTCAAAAACTAATTCTTAGTACACAGGCCATAAGTAACAAAAGCTACAACATAATCAAAAAAGAAAACAAATACATTTGCAGTGATTTAGAAAAGATTTTAAAAGTGAAAGAAAAATCAAAAAGCTAAAATACACTACTTAAATTTTTTTTTTTTCTACTTTTCTATAAAATGAACCCAAACTCGTTTTGTGCTCTATATATGCTCTTCTTAAACATTTCTGCCTCTAAATCTCCTGGCTAAATTTGAGAATTGATGACACATTTTTAGTCCTTATTAGTTGTCTTTTATGTTGTTGCTTGTTTTTTGTTTTCTCTTAGGAGTTTCTTAAATGCTTTTGATATCAAATATTTTACAAGTGAAACCTTTTTTTTGTGCTGCTACTGCTTCTGCTGCTTGTCTTGGTCAGGACATTTCTGTAAGAGATTTTTGATCTTAACAAATCCTTTACAGGAAAAAAGACTTTAATAAATGAATATGTGTACATTTAGACAGCCCAATATAAAAGCGTCTACTCAGTTTCTGCCTGAATCAGACTTAATATTACATTCTTTTAAAGTAGAAAGTGACTTATGTTTGCTGATGGCTCGTATAGATGAAAACACATTAGTACAAAATAGACAAAACAACATTTCATTTTGGGTACCTGCCAGGGCAAGGCATTCCATCTTATTTCTGGACTGAAAATCTTTCTGCAAATGCACCATTTCTTTATTCTAAAATCTTGGGAACCAGCCATTCAAGCACAGAATAGGGAAAACAACCTGAAGATAGAATCAGAACCGATAAGAGAAAAATAAAGTTGAGTCAAACAAATTACACTCAAGTTATTAGTGGCCTATTTTGTAAATATCAAAGATCCACTTGTCCCAGTGTTCTGGGCTTCATTTGCATTCTGATGAAACTGGAGTGGATGTGTGTGAACTCGGAGGTTATCTATGAAGCCGCAGCGCTGAGCCGCCGAATCAGACCGCTCCGCAAACGCTTGGCTCAAGAGGATGAGCCACAGACCTCTCTCAAATCATTTCCTTCATAACAATTAAAATATGCAAAGTGATAATTTTCCTTAAGTAGCCTTAAATGTGCAATCTATTTAAATGCGAAGGAAATTGCTTAAAGCTTGCAGTGTGTGGATGTGTGCTAAGGTAGGGGTGGCGCCTGGGTAGGGGGATAAATTATGCAAATAACGGAAAAGACTCTTGAAAGCCTAATTTTTCTGCAATAAGCATACTGTTTCATTTAATTTTTTGCCTCTTATTAAAAGTGACAGTTCTTTTGCACCGTCTGATGGCTATATCTGACACAAGCCCCATGAAACTGACTGCTAGACTAATGGTGAAGCATTTTTTGTAGCTTTCAGATGATGGTTACATTCACAAAGTAATTATGCACTAGAGAGTCCAGAAATAAGGTTTAATTACACAGTAATCGGTTCTGATGGACACTAGGAAGTGTGAGCACTGCCAGACTGCAATCCATCAATGACAAACCTCTGGCCAGTTTTAATTCCTCCTCATTTGCATCATAACCTCGGCACCAAGTTGCACAAACGCTGTTAAACGTTAATAGGACCTGTCTCTCTACTCAAAATGAACGCTTAAGCCATTTCAATTCTCCCTTTTTCTCTCTCTATCTCTTTCTTTCACTCCCCCTCTCTTTTCCACCCTTTTACACACACACACACGTGCACCCTCTATCTCACACAGTCCATATCTCCTCTCTCTCGCCTCAATTCTCACATCCTCGTGAGTCTTTACATAAATAGAGCCTCTTCAGAAGGGAAGCTGAGCACAGGAGACAGTGCACGGTCACTGCTGTGCTAATTGGGAGCAACATGTAAAGTTTTATCTCCTGAGTGCTAACAAACCATACAGACAAGTATAAATTCTTGCCTTGTGTGTCCGATTGTGTGAGTGTGAAGAAAACTGCAAGAGGCTGCATGATTGTCTCGCACAGTTCTTGAGCGCAAAATAGAAGGTAAGGCCTCAAGTTATCCTAATCCTGAGAGACTGGAGGAAATTATGTTATTATTAATTGAAATTTGTTATTGGTGTGACAGTCCAATCTTTCTTCCCCTGCAGACTTTTATAAGGTTGATTAGAGCCACCGTGTCTCATTATCAAAGATTGCAAGTCTACAATTCATTATATACCTGGGACATCCCAGAATAAAGCAGCGCATGAAAATAAAGATGACGCCTTGCCAAAGGTAGAGACTGAATCGACTAGAACACCTGTGGGTACAGAGCAGGTATTTACCGTAGTAACAGGAAAAACAACACGTTTTTTTACTTTAGTGATCCTAACATCACATAGGCTTAGAGTATTATGATGTGACCTTGTTATTCCCTAGCTATTAAAAGCAATTCAATCCTGATATGAAAAAATAATGAGGCACACAGATTTTTTTTTTGTATTTATCTAGACAGACAGACAGACAGACAGACAGACAGACAGACAGACAGACAGACAGACAGANAGATAGATAGATAGATAGATAGATAGATAGATAGATAGATAGATAGATAGATAGATAGATAGATAGATAGATAGATAGATAGATCTTAGTCTTCCTCATTATTTTTTGTGCTGAATATAAGGATATAAATACTTAAATTTATAATAATATATATATGTATAAAATGTGCAAAACTTCCAGTGGAAGAAAAAGCTGATATTCAGAAATATTGCCACTTTCCGAAAAAGGGTTTGGCGGGCCAGATTGGTGGATCTCTTTAGTCTGTCTTAACCCCTGGCTCGGTACAAGAGGACCTAATGGGGAGCAAAGACAGAAGAGTAGATGTCCAATAGGCACTCGTTCCGCTGTCAAGGCAATCATGGGAAACACAGAGCGTCACTCTTTCAATTTCATCCTTTTCCAGTGTGCAAGTCGCCCTCTAAAACGTCATTATCTCCCACAGATCTGCTGGGCCCTTTGACAGGGCCATGTTATCCAGGCACTGGGGAAATGCAAATTGATTTCATATAACCCATGGCATTTTTAAAGCCTCCACATGTTACATAGACTGTCATTTTGGGCAAAGATATGAAAATCAGAGGGAAATGTCAAACTAAGGATTGGCTTTGTTATATAAAAAGCGTTGTTTACTCTGATCACTGGATCATAAAACAAGATACTCCCTAATGCCACGTTGTCAGTTTATAATTCAAGAGGTCTCTATTACGCTTTTGAACTGAATTGGA